GATATATAGAGATTAGTCTATCGCTATCAGCTTCAGCTGGGAAGCTTACGATTTACCATCTGAGGTCCTTCAAAAATCACAAATAGGAGCCCTAGCAGATTGAGAAGGATCATCACAAATCACAAACTTAAATTAATTGAGTATAATTGTTAAATATTATACAATTATTTTTTGTACCAAAAAAAAAATATATATATATATATATATTATACAATTATTTTGTATAGAGTATTCGAGTTTTTATATTTTGACTCGATAATATTATACAATAATTCAAAATTGGTTTGATATTAGTTGTTATCCATCGAATATTTCATGAAAACATAATAACTATAACTACAGTCTTAATAATTTTCAAAAATCCAAATACATCCAGTTGAATGTTTTCTAAAATATCAAACAAAGTCATACAAATTTTACAAAGTCCATCAAATTTAAAAAATTTTAAAACGTCTTTTAAAAATCTCAATTGAATACATTACCCTATTACTTGAGTAACTAGTCTATTGTTTCATCTTATAACATACAAATTCAAATTCGAATTGAGCACCTTAATCCGTGCTTGATCAATCCCAAGGTCGAGCTAAACTTTAATACGAGTAGGTCTGTAAACGAGCTCGACTCGTTAAATAAACGAGCTTGAAATCGAGCTTGGGCTCAGTTCGTTTACCACTCATAACGAGTCGAATTCAAGCGATCTCGAGCTTTAACGAATTGAACTTAAAAAATATTTTTTTTTTCGGGGCTTAACGAGTCTTATCGAGCTGAACCGGGCCCGACTCGTTAACCAAACAAGTTTCAAATAAGCGAGCTCGACCTGCTTATCAAACGAGTCAAGTCGAATTCGAGTCTTAACGAGTCGAGTAAGACTCATTTATATGCGGCTCAAAAACAACTCAGACTAAAAAACAACTCAATTCGTTTGAGCATGTTTGTTTATAGAAACTTTTGGTTTTGTTTAGATTTTTTTTTGGTTTGGTTTGGTTAGTTTTAAAAAATGTGGTAGGGTTAGTTGTTAATGGGTATATTAAAATAATATTTAAAATAAATAATTAAAATTTATTTGATGTAAAATTAGGAGAGAGATGATTTAATGTGATAGTTAGTTAAAATAATGTGAGTGGATGAATAGTGAATTAAGGTTGATGTGGTGTGTATGAATAATTGATTGATATTATTTAATTATATTGATAATATTGATGATAGTGTGGTTGAGTTAAAGTTGAGTTAAAAAAATGATTGAGTTAAAATGTTAATTTTTTTTTTTTTTGAAAATTTTCATAAACAAACATGCTCTCTAACGCTACTACCGATTGATGAATAGTTTAGGAATAAAACTGAATTCTAATGCTGAAAACCACTATCATGTTCAATAGCTAAAATGAAAAATAAATTTAAAACTAATGTTGTTTAACAATCAACTCAATTGAGTATCTCATTTTAAATCATCATAAACGCTTTATATAATTTTTATTTATTCCGTACAAACTTGGCAACTTTTAAGAGAACACAACGAGTCAAGAATGTAATTTATTTAATACCAATTGCACCCTGATGCATTTGATACATTTATACCAAAGTATGATTATTGATCTTATACTCAAAATAATATTTTACAAACAATTGGAAAAGGGGAAAATCTGTCGATGGCTAATTTTGCCGAAAAAACAAAACAGTCACCAAATCACTTTCTTTAATTCATAAAAAATTAAAAAAAAATTAATTTGAGATTACAAATAAAGTTGAATAAAAAATTATATATATAAAATATGGTCATTCGAGAACCTTTTGACGATTTAGTTGACTGTAATCAACTACACACTACCTGAAACGTAAAGACCAGCAGACCCGGTAGTACTCTACGCTGCGATGTCAGTACCTCGACCCCCCAAACCAGCTGCTGTGGAAAAAAGCAGCTACGCTTTATATAGAAAGTCGTAGGAATTCAAGCAAACAAGCGCCACCTGTTTTCTTGATCAGTAATTTTCAATAAGATTAGCAAAATCAAGGCTACACGAGAAGATCGCAGTCCGTTTTGTTCGTCATTTTTTCATCAAAATCTCCGAAGAAAAACAGAGAGAGAGATAGATACATATACATACATACTACCACCTTGTTGTTTGTTTCATTGGTAATAATCGTGTTTATCGTCGTTCAAGGAGAACCCTGTTCGATTTGCGGGAGGTTATGGATTCGAACAGCAATTTTCAGAAGAAGCTGGTGAGAGGGGAGTTTGGATATGTTCTTCAAGATGTGCCTCATTTCGCCGATTACATTTCCGATCTCCCCGTATGTTTTGCATTTTTCGACTCTCTATTTGTGCAGTTATGGTAGATGTATTGTGCTTTTTTTGTTTGTTTGTCTTTTGTTTGTTTGTTTGTTTGTTATGAATTGTGTTTGGGTTGGGAATAATGAATAAGATGTGGTTGAGTGGATGTTTTTCTTGCCGTGTTTTGTGCATGTGAATCAGGTTGGTGGATGTTGGTCAGCTTGATTAGTGATTTCAACTGGCTTGTAATCATGATATTCCGTTTTGATTACTTCGAATTCGTAGTTTTGGTTTTTTCGATCCTATGGTGATATGCTTTGATGATCTTGTTTGTTTTCTCATTATGTTGTGATGTTGTTTTATGGCTTGTTTCCGTGTGGTAATGTATTTTGAGAACTGTAACGGGCGATATTTTTAATTGGGTAATGATCGTGTGCTAAGCAATTTTTTTTGTGGGAGTGTTTCCTTTTCGTAAGTAGTACATTCGAGGATTATAATGTTATTTTGTGAGAGTTGAATCTGTTGACAGACTAGAATTCTTGAACTGGAATATGATAAGTTGAATGATGTTGGTTTTTTGAATTGGATTTGGAATGATGGTGTTTGAAATTGGTGCTATGTGAAAAGTGGATATTTTTGTTGGAAAAGAGTGAGATTAGTGCTTGCTTTTCATATTCTTTACAACTTATAATATTTAGTAGTATTTCACATGTTTGTTGCATACATATACATTTTTCTTGTATATCATGTATAAAAAAACAACGAAGTTTTTTGTCTGCAAGCGTGTTTTCAAACGCCAATATGGAGCGTATTTTGTGCAGGAGGAAAATTAAATGAAGAATATACCTTGTTTGTCCGCTCCCGCTTCATTATTTGAAGAACATATTAGTGAAGCAGAAGCAGCTAGTAATATTCGTGATGGACATTACATTTTTAAGCATATTTTCTTATTTGTAGAATTAAACAAGTAATTTCGATTTTAACTGGCTGGGTTCATTTTAACTCGTCTTAGGACATTATCATGAATGTTTAGGTTCCAGTTTATATTAAACATTATCGTCATTTATCTTTTACCCGTCCAAATTTCTTAGCTATTATCTTCATTTATCTTTCTTATTACTCATGTTTCTGCTGGATATTTTGGCAGACTTATCCAAACCCACTACGATCAAATCCTGCTTATTCCGTTGTCAAGTTAGTCAATCTCTCTTTCACCTTTTCCCATTCTGTATCTTTCTTCTTCCTGATTTCCATTTTCAGTAATATATTATTTGTTAATGAATGCAAGTTAAAGTATGTTGTTTCCTTTCATTTCAGGCAGCACTTTGTTGACATGGATGATAGTGTCCCGGAAAAGGTACTGTCATTATTCATATTTATTTATATATTTTTTCAACCAGGGACATATATCGGATGCATTGGTTTTTTCCTTGTGCAGTTCATGCAGTCTTAAATGTTGATCTCGGGTAACAAATAGAAGCAGACATGTAAGACGTGCCTTTAGGCTTTAAATGGCATATAAAATGATAACATTAGACATGGAAAAGACTATAATTGATCATATCTGGTAGTTGGAAATTATAGAATAGCCAGAGTTTTGCAAATGAAATGGTGATTGTGCTGGATGTTTCCATTTCTGGAATATGTTGTTTCTATTGTGGAATCTGTGTGGTTGTGCTGTTATGCTTATCATTTAGTTTGATCAGGCTGGATAATCAATTGCTATGTTTAGAAGAACTCCACATTTTTCAGATGGTGTAAACACATTTTCCTGCCACTTGCTTTTTTAACTCATAAAAAGCTGAAACTACCATTTCAGTGCATTTGTAGTAGTTTCACCTTCTCTTAAAGTAACTATATTATATATGGTCAATTTTTTTACAGGTTGTTGTTCACAAGGATACTCCAAGAGGAGTACATTTTAGGCGGGCTGGACCTCGCCAAAAGGTAGTCTTCCTTTACCTGTATTGTAAAATTGAGCAAAGCATTGTTTTACATTTGCTTTTATATGTGCAGGTTTATTTTGCTTCAGATGAGGTGCTTGCATGTATCGTGACTTGTGGTGGTCTGTGTCCTGGACTAAACACAGTGATAAGGGAAATTGTACATAGCCTTGACTATATGTATGGGGTCAACAAAGTCCTTGGAATCGATGTAAGCCAGCTGATTATATAAGTTAATCGTGAATTACTATTCCAGAAAGGTTTTAGTTTTAGCTATCAGCCTATCACCACTTAAAATTCAGATTATGACTCGAACAGCTTTTCTTTTTCCCCAAACAGAATTCGTTAGAACATGCCTATGCATATATATATATATATGTATATATATATATATATATATATCTGTAGTTATTCAATCGGCACAAGTCACAAGGTCATAGAATTTTTTTGGTTCCTTACTCAGCTCTTGTGATAAGGCTATTGCCATAATTTTAGTCGTATTCATTTATATTCTCCTAATACCAACATTTCTTTAGGGAGGTTACCGGGGTTTCTATTCAAAGAATACCATTACTTTAACACCAAAGATTGTGAACGACATACACAAGCGTGGTGGAACCATATTGGGAACATCTCGAGGTGGTCATGACACCACTAAGATTGTTGACAGCATCCAAGACCGTGGAATTAATCAGGCATGTATTACGTTATGTGTAATATATAAGCAAATCTCCCAAGCAGCTCTTTTTGGATTTTTACCTGCTGATGATCATTTACTCGTGTTGTGGCTTGTAATAAATTGCACTTTGGCTCTGATGAACAGTATTACTGGCTCAGGTTTATATAATTGGAGGAGATGGCACCCAGAAAGGAGCATCTGTGATTTATGAGGTATCGTTATTAGGGAATAAATCTAATTTCTTATAGCCATGTCTCGAAGAAGCGTATATATTATATGGGAACAAACCGAAAATCATTGGAAAGGACATTTAGAAATCTTTTGTGGAGAATTAGAAATGGTAAGGTAATGGTTTTATGATAAGGAATTGCTGGTTAAAGCAGTGTCCTATTTAATTATTTTTGTCAACGAGTCCCCAATCTTGTTATTGTTGTATGCTCAAAAGGCAGGCTTTGTAACTGGAAACTGGAAGTGGCTCTATCCCACTTAAGATATTATATGCCAATTTGATATTCTTATCCATATAGCATATATGTAGTTTCGAGGAGATGTATTTTTTCTTGAAAAGCAGCTGAATGGCAAAGTGAATCTATGTTTTCGTTCTTTTGCAGGAAATTATAAAGCGTGGTCTGAAGGTTGCTGTTGCAGGTATTCCCAAGACAATTGATAATGATATCCCGGTATATCCCCTCAAATTTTATTAAAGAAACTTGTTCTTTGACTGGTTTTGTATTGATTTATTATTATCTTAGTATGTTATGAACTTAAATGCAATAAACATGTGTTTGCTCTTCACATGAATCACAAGATTTCACAAATCAAACATTGAGTGGCCATTATCTTTTACAGAATATGTATTTCGAGGATCAATTGCCACCTCACATGAATTATAATTGTGAGAAAAAAAATAAATGCTACACCGTAAAAGATAATTAAGAATTAAATAAACAAGTCAAAGTGTTCTTGTGAGTAGATCAACCCTCAACCCAGCTCATATGTATACGGGTGTTCTTTCTTCCTTTCCTTTTTATACACTAACAAACTTATTTCCTTCTATTATCTGAACTGATTTTACTTTTGCTTCTGCTATCAGGTTATTGACAGGTCCTTTGGTTTTGATACTGCTGTAGAGGAAGCTCAGCGTGCCATAAATGCTGCGCATGTTGAAGCTGAGAGTGCAGAAAACGGGATTGGTGTGGTGAAACTGATGGGTCGCTACAGTGGTAAGATGAATCTGTACTCTTGAACTGTCAATTATATTATCGAAAAATTGAATAAATATTATTTGAAGGACTTTACTGGACGTGTATTTTCCATTATTTTAGCCAAAAGAATCACGACCTAGTTGTAAAAAGATGAGTATTATGTCCTTAATCCTTATAGAGCTCTGACCCGAGTAATTTATATTATCGTCTAAATTCTCTGATGCAGGTTTTATTGCAATGTATGCCACGCTGGCTAGCCGGGATGTGGACTGTTGTCTGATTCCAGAATCTCCATTTTATTTAGAGGGAAAAGGTGGACTCTTCGAATATATAGAGAAAACACTCAAAGCAAATGGGCATATGGTCATTGTTATTGCTGAAGGAGCAGGACAGGAACTTCTTACGGCGAAAAACGAACAAGATGCTTCGGGAAACAAGCTGCTTCAAGATGTCGGGTTGTGGATTTCTCAAAAAATAAAGGTATAGTTTATGTAAAACGGGATTTGACTTTTTGAGGCTACTTCTTGGCGTGTTCTTTCTGTTTTTTCGACTTTCTTAGGTAAATCAGTTTGTGCTAGAAAAAGGAAAATACACATAAAGAAGGGTTAGAAAGAATGCGGCAATTGTTTGTGTTGTCTTAGAACTGTAAGCTAAACATGGCTATATTAACTTCTCTACCACCGTCCGAAACCTAGAATCGAGTAATGACAGCTTATATATACCAGAAAACCTGTACAAACGCGACTTGCAATCACTATATTTGCCTGGCCACCCTTGACTTGCCATAGATGGAGTATTTAGAGAAAGAGATTAAGTGGTCTGCAGAAGCAATTTATGAGAATGTGTGAGAAAGCTTTGTGAGATGGTTGGAACACATTGTATGGTGACGAGCGCATGCTGCTCGGCAGACATAAACCTAAAATCAATTAAATGGTAAAAGTGAGATTAATTTATGCCTTCCATAGGGTAAAATGAATGCACGATGGTTAATTTATGCATTTTATTTAGTCAAAGTCGACAAATTTATATGGATTAAACGTTTTATCGAGCTACCTTCTCTTTTGACAGGAACATTTCGCGAAGCAAAATAAACTTCCAATCACTCTAAAGTACATAGGTCAGTATTCTCGAGCTGGGATCAATTTTTATTATTTTGGTTCTAAAGTTAACTAACTCCATAATTTTGCAGATCCAACTTACATGATCCGTGCTATTCCTAGCAATGCTGCTGACAATGTGTATTGCACTCTCCTTGCTCAAAGTGCTGTCCATGGAGCAATGGCAGGGTACACAGGCTTCACAAGTGGGCTTGTCAATGGTCGTCAAACGTATATCCCCTTCTATGTAAGTGAAATTTATTGTGAAATATATTGGAGAATTCTCAGGTTCGTTCTTCTTGTCGAACTTAGGTTCAGAATTTAGAAACAAAAAAAGGGAAACTCGGTAAAATATATAGACACGAACGAATAAACTCAACCATAGTATTATTAATTAAATCTTGTACAATGTTTTGGGTCTAATTTTGCTTACGTGGCATGTAGATAGACCTAAGTTTTGGATTAAAAATATATAAAATTAACAAAATTAACTCCAATAATTTTGCTTAGGCGGCATATAGATAAACCTAAGTCTTGGATGACATGGATAAAAGTATATAGAAGTAACAAAGTTAACTTCAATGCAAATAGTCTAGGTCTCTACTCGAGTCTAAAATAGACTTATGAGTAGATCGAGCTCTTTTTTTACTGCCACATCAGCAGGACCCAGTCCACTTGTACTTACATTAGAGAATATATTTTTTTAGATTGCGTCTATTTCCTGCGTGGCCAGTATATTTTTTTTAAATGAACCCTAAACATTGTGGATGCTAATGCATGTATTGCCATTAAGTTGACAACAATTGTCCTTGTTTTTCTTTTGGGTGCAGCGTATTACGGAAAAGCAAAACATGGTTGTAATAACAGACAGGATGTGGGCAAGGCTTCTGTCTTCGACCAATCAACCGAGCTTTCTGGGACCAAAAGCTGGTGAAGATGAAGTAAGAGAATGCGATAGTGAGAACCCAGGTAATATAGATAATTCAGGCATCAGCACAAATGAAATTAAAAGCACTTGACAAAACATAAATCATGCTTCCATAAATTGGCACCAAAAATCGGTCTTCTGTGTGTACCGGTTTTCGCACTATGAGGTATGTACCGTAATATTGGATTAATGGGCGTGTAGGAACGAAATTCAAGGTGACCGATCTGTTAAGATGCCTCAGCTGCGGGCAATGAATTTGTTGTTGAAAGTTTTCTTGTTTATTAGAACAAATTGACTCGGTTATGTTTCTTTTGTATGTTTTGCCATCGGTGATGGGCTCCCCAAGTATTCTTTTTTCCCAGTAAGTTGCTCTGGTTCAAGGTTTTATGTCCTGCTCCTTGGCTGGTATTATTATTGTCCAAATTAAACATTTTTCACTCTACCAATTGATGTAAATTATAAAGAGTGTAGGTCTCTAATAAAACCGGTAGACTTGTATATGATGCTATTTTTATCATCATGTGGTGTTATCATTTACACAAATGTTAGTGTTATATATATATATATATATATATATATATATATATATATATATATACATATATATATGGTGTTGTTTTTAATAACAATTTCTATTTAGAGAACAACAACCACAATTAGATGCATTATAGGCATTTAAAAATAGTGTTATACTCTCACACTAAGGGTGATCTTGTGTGAGTTTGTAACAACCAAAGGTAGCCTTGTTTTTGTCAGACAACTAAATTGCTATTAGAATATATAATCTTGCCTATGTGACACGTAAATAAACCCAAGTATTGGATGATATGAAATAAACCCAAGTATTGGATGATATGGATAAAATTATGTAAAATTGATAAAATTCAGTTTAATGCAAAGAGACTAGGTCTCTACACAGGTATCAAACAGATTTAAGGGTAGGCCGGGTCTCTTTTTTTGGCTGCCACATCAGCATGACTCAGTCTACTTTTGTTTGCATTGGAGAATACATTTTTTTAGACTAGGTCTATTTCTTAGGCTGACATGTAATTTTTTTTTTAATTGAACCCAAAGCATTGTAAATGCTCTAAGAGCACCCACAATGCTTTGGGTCTCTTTTTGCATATGTGGCAAATAAATAGACTTAAGTTCATAATGACATGGACAAACCTAAGTTAAAAAAATCCAAAATCTATCCAATAATGACTAGGTGGGTTTGCACTTGGGTCCAAAATAGACCCAAGTATGAACTTAGTCTCTTTTTTCTAGTGTCACATAAGTTAGACTAGGTTTACTTTTAATTGCATTGTGAAATTACATGCCATGTAGGAAATAGACATAGTCTATAAAAAAAATGTTTCACAATGCAATTAAAAGTGAACCTAGTATGTGTCACTAGAAAAAAGAGACTAAGTCCACACTTGGGTCTATTTTGGACCAAAGTGCAAATCCACCTAGTTATTAATTGTTCACATTTTTTTTTTTAATAGGCAAAACACATTTTTTTGTATGCATTTATTATTACTATATTTTTATTGGTTGTTTAGTATTCTAGACCTAGTACTTTTTTGTTTTGCATTGGATAGATTTTGGATTTTTTAGTTTGGGTTTATCCATGGCATTATGGACTTAAGTCTATTAAAAATTTAAAATTGATAAAATTGATGACATTAAAATTGATAAAATTTATTCCAATACAAAGGGACTAGATCTCTAATTGGGTCTAAAATTAGGTCTTTTTTTCTAATTGTCACATCAGCAGGACCAAGTCTACTTTTGTTAGCATTGGAGAATAAGTTTTTTAGACTAAGTCTAATTCTTATGTGCCATACAATTTTTTGTCATTGAAGCCAAAACATTGTTGATGCTCTAAACTACTCTTTCACACTAGAAAGCACTACAATCAATTGGTCAATCAATGTTCCCAATAAAATCATTTCAGCTTTCGAGTATCGGACCAGCAAGAAAACGGATGAGCTAACGCACAACGGCTTTCGCGCTACTTGCTCAAACATTTTCTTTCATTCTCCTTCGTCCTCTTCGACTTCCTTAAATCTCAAGCAACTTTCTCCTATTGGTATTGGTTACTAAGAACCTAACAGAACTTTCTTGACAATAATACCATATCATTCTAATTGACACCCAACACCAACTATGGTAATAAACGATGAACTTGACATTTGGTTCAAAGTTAAGGCATTCTCAATTAACATCTGTAAATGCCAGAGGGATCAGCATTTTGCACAATCCATGGATGCTCGAGTAGTTTGTGCAGAGGCAAGCGTTGCGAAGAATCCTTTACCAGCATCTATGGAACAAAAAAAAAAAAAAAAAGAAAGAAAAAAAGAAAAAATGAGCAAATAAAAATAAAATAGAGCTACAAAAAAATGAACTAGACCAAGCTTTACACCATAGTGCCAATAATTGAATTGGTACCTGACTTATGAGATCCTTTGCCGCTGAAGAGACTATTGGTCGTGGAGGGAATTTTATGTCCACCTGGATAATCCTGCGGAGAACACACAGTCATATTGCACCTCAAACCGGGACATCCAATTACATACTGTCATAACATAAAACTTAAAAGCTAGCCAACAATATTGCTCGTCTTTAGCAGTTGATTAAATCGTACGTAAAAAAATAAACATGACCCGATTTTTACCTTCTGTATGTGTCTAAATGCTCCTTTGCTTCAAAAGGGGGAACTCCATAGAGAAATTCATAGCACAAGACACCAAGGCTCCATATATCAACATTTGTGTCATGCTCCACACTCTCCACTATAAAAATTTTAACATTATAGAACATACATTGTTCAGCAAAGGAAAGAAAAAAAAAAGAACGAAAAAAAAGGAAGTTTATTCGTATGTTAATATTTGTTAGCCAGCCACCCTTAAACTTTTATGCTTAGGCGCAACTGGAAACATACAATTTTATGGAGGTTTCTTAACAAATATTTCCAGTAAAACAAGGAGGGTGTTTGAAATTTAGAAAGATGGCTACATTTCCCATAATTAGAAACATCAATGGTATATTTCTTCAATCAACCTTTATATTTCAGTTTGCAATTGATATTAGTAGGTTGCATACCCACCCATCTCAGGGGGAAGATAATCGAGAGTTCCACACATTGTCTGCCTGCGATTGAAAGTGTGCACTGACCAGCCAAAATCTGCAATTTTGAGTTCACCCTGCCAAATCGGAAGGCAAACCACACAAAGATAAGAAGAGGCTACACCACTCATTTTAATAACCAACACAAGCCAAAAAGCCCACAATAAATACCTGTGCCCCAACCAGAAGGTTCTCCGGCTTGATGTCCCGATGTATCACATGCTTCCCATGGCAATATATGAGTGCCCGAGCTAATGATGCGATATACTGTTTCATGGTGCATAAAGACAAACACAAAACCATAATAGCCTTGTGTTAGTAAGTAAGCAGCTCAAATCTTCAAGAACCGTGATATGTATAAACTCAAAATGCATTCCACAATTCTAACTGGCTGCAACAAGTTACAATCGAAATAGTAATAGGGAGTTAGGGATATACTGTAGCAGCACGTCTTTCACTGAAATGTTTGCAGTCTCGTAGCTGTTTATAGAGTTCTCCCTTAGCAGCATATTCTAGAATCAAATAAACTCTTTTCTGCAGTTAAATACGAGACATTTAGTCCAGCAGCATCATTTTCTTTCAAACCTATTGAATAAAAAGAAAAACCCCACACCTGATCGTAAAAGTAACCATAGAGTCGTAATATGTTAGGATGTCGAAGGTGGTTCTGTATCTCCACTTCACGACGAAGCTGATGCTCAACCTGAGATTCTTTTAGCTGCTCCTTGAACAATACCTTTAGTGCCACAATTTGTTCGCTCTGCTTGAATAAAAGAGGAAAAAGGATAATAATAATAATAATAATAATAATAATAATAATAATAATAATAATAATAATAATAATAATAATAATAATAATAATAATAATAATAATAATAATAATAATAATAGGGAAAAAACTCGATCAGACACTTCAAAATTTTCTCCAACAATCACTTTTCTTTCCCCAAGAAAATAAAAGCCTATTGTACATATCTCATCCTTTTAATCCCTTCACATATAGTCAAGCAATTGGCCTCAACCATCAAGAAAGCCATTTGGAAGTACCAAATTTTACCAAACAAGAGTTTAATTAAGATAATAGCTAAGGGAGAACTCTATAAATGCTAATGCACAATTGAACATAATTATTCACATTGAACATAATTATGCACAAATTTCACCAAGCAAGAGCTTAATTAATCTGAACATAATTATTCACATGCCATATATTATGTGTATCATCATGCTAATGCACAATTGAAATTATTATATACTTTTTTGTGCTAATAATAACAAACAAGAAAATAAAATTAAATGGATAAGAGGATCTTTAATAAAAGAATGCTGACCCTTTTCTCTCTAGCAACAAACACATGTCCGAATTTCCCTCTGCCGAGAGGCTTCCCAATATCAAAGTCGTGTCTACACCACCTCTTTTCCTCAGCTACCGGGCACTCAGAAGAATTCTATTAAAAAAAGCGAAACAGAACATTTAAGCATCTGAACATAATGACTAATAGCACATCAAAGACACATATTAAATCAAAGCACGACTTTGATGAGCACACCTACAGAGGCTAAAACACGATATTCTAAAGATTAACGGCCGGTTTAGGGTGGTGTAAATATGTAGAGTTTAGCTAAATGGTTAACTAAATACACGTTAGCTGCATCAAGCTCGAATTCGAACACTGCGGAAGAAATCGAACACTACGGAAAAAAACGAAATTTCCGAATTTCATTCTTTTATTGTGTGCAAAATTCTTAATGCCGGTGCAAAGATAAATTAGTCTCGCCAGTCACCACTCACTAAATCCAATTTCTGCAGTAAAAATTGCAGCGAAATTGAGTTTTGAACACACGCCTCGTTTTTTCTGGCAATTCAAATATGACAAAATCAACAAATCAATGAACAAAAGAACACGAAATCGAACAGAAAAATAGTACAAGAAATATAGATATGATTCAGATATAAAATGGCCGGAGAAAAGCTAAATTTAGTCTCGCCAATCACTACTCCAATCCCTAAAATTAAATCCAATTTCTGCGACAAATCAGATGAACAACATAACAAAAATTCCAACACCGAATCACAACAAATATAAATCTGAAAAAAAAATGGCAGGAGAGATCTTGGCATTATCTCTATTAGATCTTCGCGTACCGAGATTCTCATAAGTTTCCAGCACAAAAAAAAAAAGGAAAAAAATGAGAAAAACCTAGATATCGAACTTTTTTATTCCTTACCTCGTGTTCTTGTTGTTGTTGAGTCTCGGTTGCGATCGCCATAGCCGAACAAAGCACGCACTCGATCACACACTTAAATGTGAGAGAAAAAGTGAGACGAATTTGTGTAAGTGAGCTCGGAATTCTCCGATCTGATTCGAATTGTTTCTGTCTATTGGCATAAAGGTTGCAACAACGGTCACATTTGAAATTTGAGGTTTACACGTGGCTTTGCAGCTTATAAATTTTCAAAATAATTCATTAGGAAATAAGCCGATCACAAGCTCGATTCGACTCTACTTGTTAAGGTTCGTCGACGACTTGAGAATAGTGGATTATATAACTTCTAAAAGTTTTACCTAATTTCTGGCTATGACTCAAATTTAACTCGTTAGTATTCACAAATGAGTCCGACTCGATTCGATAAAGACTTAAAACCCGAACTCAAGTATTAGAATAGAGCTTAACTCAAGTTTGTTTGCACTTCTTAAATGGTTAGCTATAATCAGTGTGTTACAAATTGCTAGACGCTCGATTAGCGGCCAGCGCCTAGAGCGCTTAGGCGGGGCCTAGTCGGCTTCTAGGGGGCTTAGAAATTAAGATTAAATACCTTATTTTTATTTATTTTTTCTATTTACAAAATAAAAATATATCAACTCATAATAAATCAACATACCTAAGCCTAAATAATAATATTAGTATATTATAATAAAAACATGATAAGAAAATAATGTAATTAGTACTTAAAAAAATAGAAAAATAAAAATTTTTCGCCAAGCCGCCTAGGAGCGCCTAGGCGTTACCGCCTAGGCGTCACCTAGCCGCCTGACCGATTTTTGCCAACTGATTTATGCAAATTAGAGGCGTTCGAGCACCGCCTAAGTGCTGTCTAGGCCGACTTTTAGAACATAGGCTATTATTGACAAGTTTGTATGTACTTATTGAATTCATCAGAGCTTGAACTCGGATTAGAAACTCGATTCGACTCGATAATGATTTGAGCTTGAACTCGAGTTTCTGAAGCTAGTTGTTATAAACTATTTCATCTATCCTTGTTGCATACGATTCAACCTCGGCTCGGATCATTCTAGCTAATTTGGTTATTATTGATAAGTTGGTCAATACTTACTTGGTCCATACATGATGGCCCACGAAATAGAGGCCCATGAATAAGTCATTGGGCCAACAGGCCAAAATTGCCCATTTGAATAGAGAAAAGCACGAATATTGATCAACAGAGTTATCCTGCGCACAACCGGAGCTCAGTCGGCTACCACAGTCCATCACCGGTCGCATACGCCGCCGCGGCCAGGACGGCGAACTTGCTGTCACGGACGGAGCACCGATAGGTATGCCCCTAATTCCCTATTGCCCAAGTGACGAAATCCAAAATTCATTCCGAATATTTTAATTTGTTTCAAAGGTACAGAACTCTAACTTGAGTGGCTAAAAGAATTAATGAAGCTCTCATTAGTATATATTCAACCATCAATTTCATGTATTCTGGAATAGGATATTTTTCTTTTTTTCTTTTCCTTTTTATTTTTTTTTCAAGTTTTTAGATAGCTTGGGATGGTTAGTTACTTTGCTGGTATTGTGAAAATTTTGGGCAAAAATTTAGAATAAAATGCTGGCCATTAAACTTGCACCTCATAAATCTCGCTATAATAAGTTGGCAAATTCATAAAGAAAGTATAATGATCACCTTCTCGCGATTAGCTTATTCATTTTGGTCTAGCTGTTCTATGCTCGGTGAAACTCCAACATTGTTCAACATCCATTTTGATCGAGAGACCTACCGTTGGACTCATCTCGTTGAGACAGTCAAACCCATACAATTTTGGTCCAATCGGGGTTCGTTTACCCATTCAATAAACCGCATTGTTGGCCCGTGTTCGGCTCCGTTTCTAGCCCATTTTGGATTTGACCCCGTTTTGGCCAGTGATAGTGAACTGTAATCCTACCACACCAATAATTTTTCCTCAGAGGGTAATTAGTGTACCTTCTTTTGATAAATTTACCAAGTTATTGTAGCGAGTTTGATGAGGTCCAAATTTGCGTATCTTTTCTTGAAAATAGTCAACTTAATGTTTTTTTTTTGAAATTTCTCCAAAAATTGCGATACATTTATCATTTATTTATTGTTGTAAATTGTATGAATCAAGAGGTTTCGGATTTGATGCTTGTATTCTTGTTTGCATGATAATTAAATGTCATGGAATTATATATCATACCTCCAAGATTTCTTGATGAATACATAGAATTTTCAGATATCCATTTTATATATTTTTCTGTGACAAAAAAAGGTTTTATCTTCCACATATTTAGGCCACTTTTATGAATATCTCTTTGGTTGTACTAATCTACAGGGCAGACCCAGCTTATACTGTTGTCTCTATCATCAAATCATGTCTAGAATTATTAGCAGAACTGCTGCACTGCCGGTTTTCAGCTTGGGGAAAAGCCCTTATCCAAAAGCGTTTGTTCAAAATAAACGATTTTCCACTGCAAGGTCTTCTCTGGAGCCCCCAGATGTTGCACACTTGGCTGAAACGGCTCGCATTTCCCTAACCCCTCAACAAGTATTTATTGGATATTGGAGTTTAGCAACCCGTGTTATATGTCAAATATGTTCCTTCCATTTTATTTGTTCTTATACTTTTTATTTTTCGAACTTTTGCAGGTTGAGGAGTTTGGTCCAAAAATTCACCAAGTTGTTGACTGGTATCATCTCTCTCCCCCCGTCTCTCTGTTTCTCTCCATATATGGTTCTGTGTGTATTTATTAGAGTCCTCATTAATGTGCACTAGTGAGAATCCCGTGCGATGCATGGGAATTTCGTAATGTAAAATATTCAAAAATTTATTTTAGCAATGTATTAGCCCGTTGATCCGTCTATTAATCTAAATAACATTTTAACATATATACTTATTTTTTAATGCAAAAAAGTAAGAATTTTACATATTTTGGTTCATCATAATACTCAAATATAACTTTATTAAAAAAATTATTGTCGTATAATGTCAATATTATTTATACCATTTATAGAAGTAATATTTCTTTTTTTATCTAATGGTAAATATTTAATGTATGTTAATATTATTTATTGATGTGATTAATTTAAAAATATATAAGTAAATCTAATGTTTGTTAGGAATGTGATAGATCTTGATATTTTAGGTATATGATATATATGTACAAATATATGATATAGTATCTTGAGATACAAAAGAAATTTTTATGTGATTTATTACTTTAATTAATCATCCCAATTACCTAAATTGTATTTTGAAACATAACATAAAATATTTAAAAGTTTCCAGAATTAGTAAACAATATTTTTTTGGCGGGAAATAGTTACTATTTAAAAAATAATCAAACCTTATTATATATATATAGATATAGATATAGATGTTATAAGTCTGTAACTATATCTTGAGCTACTGGACTGTGCATTCCTTGTATTTTGTGTCTTTGGATGTATCTAACAAATTGTATGCATACTGTTTTCAATGTGCATAAGGGAAGAACGAAAAAAGGAACACATCTGCTAGCAGTTTCGGATATGTTATATCTTCCATACTGTTAATTGTTTAGGGTGTGTTTGGTTGGGAAGATTGCGACTAGGGAACTACTAAACGGGTAAAAAAAAAGAAAAAAAAAAAAAGAGAAAATGGATGGACCGTTTATTTGGTATGGTTGTAATTCAATTTGTATAAAGCTAACAAAGATGGTCGCGTAATCGTGTTGGGTTTATTGGTTGTCGTAATTAAAAAAATGGCATTTGCAGCACCATCTCCTTTTATTTTTCCTTTTTTTTTTCTTCTATGATTTGCCTAAGCATTTTATCATATCATTTATAATTATATGCTTGGTTGATGATTGTGTTGTGGTACTTGCAAGTGTTTCTTTAGAATCTGATAAAGAAAGTTTGTGTCTCGTTTGTGAATATGGGAATAGGTTTGGGCAGCTTCAGGCGGTTGACCTTGAGAGCATTGAACCAGCCCTAAGAGCAGGTGCTCGAATGTTCTACTTTGTTTTTGCTGGTCATACGTCTTATGATGTCAGGACCATTATAAACTCCTCGAACTCAGAAGTACCATTTCTTCCATTAGCCACCCACATAACTTATAAAATTGACTATATGTATATTTATTTCTGTCTTTTTTATTGCTAATCTCAACTCCTTATATGCATGACTGATTTTCACACTTCGTAAGATTCTCGTCGTTTTAGGAAGATAAAAATGGGAAAAATTTCGATAATTACTCTCGGTTTTATTTTTTTTGTGGCGGGAAGTATAAATTCTCTTATGCTTCAGTTCCGACCGAAGGGTAGAGAAGGGATATTAGTAATGTAGTATACAATGGAAAATAGTCATTCAGGTTTAGGATAAATGCTAGAAATGAATTTGTGAGTTTGAAAGAGAATTGGCCTATAGTGAGATCAAATCTCCATAGAATTGATGTCTTCTGAGATTATCTTGATGAATTTTTTTTTTCCCCCTTTTTGAATCTTCAGATACTGAAACCGAATATTTGCGAGATGATGAGCCAGAAACTTTCGAAAATAGGTATCAATGATCTGTTTTCGGTTTTACTTTTTTTCATGCAAGCTCAATCTGAACTAAGATCAATCTTACAGGGATGCGGTAATTGCAGCCGTGCCCACCTATGACGATCCTTATATCACAGTTCCCAAAGTGCTGAACAAAGAATCGTGAATAGTTGATATCGTCTGCATAACTTGTTTCGTTTTGTTTATGATTCGTATGTTCTTCAGCAAATCAGTAGTACACTACGCTCTAAACACTTACCTTGCTGTAGTATTTTGTTCTGTTTTTCAGAAAACCTTACATGAACTAATTAAGTGATCCTTTCTGTGGCGGAGAAAATCGAAAGGTTAGTATGGTTGTTGATTTGAAATAATCATGTGAGAAGAAAAAAAAAAAAAGGGCTATAATTGACTCATTGATAGATTTTTCTCATCAAGACAGTCGTATACGAAAAAAAATTCACTCCCGTTGGAGTTTGTTTCCCTATTTAATTTTCCATCCAAAGTAATTTGAGTCCAAATTCATTGTTACTTTGTACGAAACATTCTGCTGCTATCCAACATTTGTTTAGTCGGTTGACCTATATTTGGATTTATCTCGTCGAGACAGTCGGTACTCATAAAATTGCAGCCTAATCAAGTACATTTGCTCACACAAATTTTTGTTCGTAATTTATTTGCCCACTCAATTTTATGTGCACAAACTCGATCTTTCGCCCATGTTCAGCCTGTGATAAGTTCAAATAATCTGGCCTTTATCACACCCCATACTTTGCTAACCTTTTTTTCCATGCTTTTGACAAACTATTAGTCGCATTAAGTTAGATGTTCATCACTATAGCATTCATATTCTGAAAAAATCAACATAATGAACAAAAAAATTCAAATTTTCAGCATCACAACTATATATGTTTAATTAGACATATAGAAATGGAAGTATTTTTTGTTGGGGTAAATAATTTTTTCCAACCTGTACTATACGTGTTTTTGAGATTTTCAACCTAAAGTATTTTTTGTTGTAAAATGTTACCTGAATTACATATACAGTCACTAGTTGCACGCTCGACTACTTTTTGACCGTCCGATCATCTACAAAAAAGGACACATGTATGGTCAAGATGTGGTCGAGCGTGCAAATAGTGATTGTATATGTAGTTGAGGTTGTATTTTACAACAAAAAATACTTTAGGTTGAAAATTCCAAAAGCACGTATAGTACAGGTTGGAAAAAATTATTTATCTTTTTTGTTGCTAAAATGTTTGATTTAGAAGATTCATATTACAGCTGGCTTAATTTGTGAACAATAATATGTACACACATTCAATATCAATATGGACACATTGAATGTCTGTAAATGAATATTGAAAGAAGAGCAAAGTCGCTTTGAATTGATATTTCCAGTCAAGTCATCATCGTTATGGTCGGCCGTGAGATCAAATAATCCATGCATGGCCTGCTTCCAAACCAATAGGGACCACATCCACATACTTAAAAAAAAAAAATCGATAAAGTTGATGTTAAACAATTATAACGATTAATGTTAAGCAGGTATAACGATTAGGCAATCATTTTTTTTTTTTCGAGCACATCTACGTACTTTAAAATTAGAATTATTATTACTCAAAAAAGTAACATAAATAAAACTGCAACATTCTATTGCATAAATATATAATTTTGTTAAAATTAGAATATATAATTGTTGGACGGGTTGAATTGTCGCATTCCATGAATAAAATAAAATAAAATGCATAATCAAAAATCATAGTTCTGATTTTTTTTTTTTTTACCTACTATGAGCTGGGTAAACTTTAGACACGCAATATTCAACAATGTGCTTGTCTAAGTATAATTTAGCATGAAAATATTATTGTAGATATAGGTAGTGATGTACATTTGAAAGTATATACTTAATACTTTGAACTTTGAATTAACTTTTTGTTGGGAAAGTCATCGAAAATATATGTACTTGTGTTGGATGAAATTTTAAATTAGTTTTGGTTTACTACTTTCATAGAATTAATGAAACAATTCATCAAAAGTTCACTTCATAACCTCCTTTACTTTTTAATGCAGACTTCCTCGAGTTATTTTCTTTTATAAAAAAGTAGATGTAATTATATTTATTTATTTTGTATAAAATTTAATCTTTATTTTCAAAGTAATCACGTTTATATATTCTATATACGAGGGGATACCAATAGAGAAATTGTGTGGCGGACAGAATTGAGAAAACTTGTCATTAAATATGGAATATCTAACCCAATTTTATTTTTTTCGACAATTACAACACATAACACTTCACATTTTATTATTACCACAAACAACGAAATTACACAACATAAACCAACATTGTTCATCAAATACAACCAACACTACCATCTCCCCTTTAAACAACTTAGACAATTCAAACAAATAGCCATGCACTTGGCTTTATTTCATCATGATCATTATTATTTTTATTATTTTCTTTGGGGATATATATAGTAGTTGTTTAATTATTAATTCCAAATAAAGCTCAATTATTCAGCAGTAGTAGTAGCAGCAGTAGTAGTATCAACAGCAGCTGGTGTGTCACCCTCTTCCCCCTCTGCAGTGGCATCAGTCTCGTCATATTTGGAGTCGAGTGATGGTGAGATTGCGCTTATATTATCGGCCAACTCCATAGCTCTCGGGGTCAAACCTTCTAACGTCAGTATACCCACAAACTCAGGCGAACTTCCCGAACCAATCGACACCCGAGCAATGCCGCCATTTTGGGTGTTGGTAAAATTATTCTGCTGCCTCTCCATATTATTGTCGATGGTGCCCCAGTTGACGGAATTGAAACCGCCTTGCACGCGGATTTCTGCGTACACCTAATTATCAAACGCATCCAATCATCGATAAGTATTTACTTTTAAAAAGAAAATAATTAATTCACTAACTCAACCTATGATTGAAAATGATTATTTTTTTTATTTTTATGGAATTTGATTTATTGATAGAATGAGTTACGATCGAAAAGAATTGATTTTAGTATAAATTTGGATTTGATCATTTTGAGTTTATGAGCGAATATGAATTTAGATGTAATGATTAGAGTTGATTTGATATAAATGCAGTAAAATAACAATGACAGATAGTTAAAAAATATGTGAACAGATGAATAGTTAATTATTATGCAGGAAAGTGCTAATAATTTGTTTTTATTATTTAATTATATTGACAATATTGAAGAGATGTTAAAACTGATTTAGATGTTGGTTGAATCTGGTGTTATAAAATTTGTATCAGTTCTACTAAAATATAATATATATATATATATATATAGCGCTAACTCACGCGGTTTTGAAAGTGGCGACGGGACGTGTTGAAGCATATCATCCAATCGCGGTTGAGCCCGTTATTGACTTGGCCACGGTAGACCATAGCTCCCTTAGACGCGCCCATGACGTTATAACGGACGTGTAGAAATGCGGCCCACTGGCCGTTTTGGATGACCTGAGGGATAGGTGAGCGCCAAACACTGCCTTCCCAGTCGTGAGTGAGCTGGAGCGAGAGGGTCCCACCGGTGGCATTGTAAAACATTCCGAGCGTGGAGGTTCCGTTGCCGTAGTCCCTTTTGGTGTTGTGCACGAACGTGCTTGCGTTATCGGCTTTGCTCTCGGCATTCATGTACTGAAGTGCCACGTCAGCACGGTTCAAGGGAGTGATTTGGGTGAGGTTCGGATAAACGAGCCTAACCGTGTCGTCGGTCACCGGATTTCCGAACACGTTGACTGCCATGCTTGATTGCTTTGGGGGGTGTTTTTGGTTTTCTTTTGTGTTTGGGTTTGGGGTGTTTTGTGCTTGTGGTGCAAAGTGTGATTAAGTTGGTGTATTTATAGTGAGAAAAGGGGTTGAGGTAATGAGGTTGCTTATGGGGTTTTTTTTTTTGTTTTTTTTTTTCAATTATTTAGGGTTTGCATGCTATTAACTCTCTCTCCTATATGCATTATACAGTTCATAAAAATGATACACATATTGAGAATTACTTGTTGTCACAACAATTCAAAAATAAAAAATGATTGGAATTGAGGACAAGTAGTGAGTGATCATATAATAAGTAACGTGAATTCAAGGGCTAGAGGAGAGGAGAGAATTAATTTATATAATAAGTAATGTAAATTAAACAAGTCTTTCTTGCACTTTTGAGTTTATTACGGCTACATATTTAATTTTTCAGCAATTAATATTTTTTTACAGGAAAATCTTTTCTCCATTTAATTTCTAGTAAATCCTTTGGTCTTTTTATAAATCTACTCTTATGTTTGCTCGAAAACATCATTTTTTTTTTTTT